AGGGCATATTTATTTACCCAGAAAACCTGAATTAGCCTTATTACATCTAGATTGGGGAACAGTCAATGTTAAAACAATTTTTAAGAATAACGTTTTATAGCGTTATGGAGAGTACCAACAGGAGGTCCCTAGAGTATGAATGAGGGAATGAATGTTTGTCCAAAACTGATATAATTTAATAGAACTGAATAATAGATACATGATTGTTTTTGTGTTTTATTGCTTTTTATTTATTTTGGTGTATTGTATTATACTTTTTTTTGTATGATAATTCAATAAAGAACAAATGAAACAAAATAAATATGTTTTGCGCAAAGAACTACCCCAGCCACTATGTGACATGTCTGTCTGCTTGTGGAAGGGAGAGTTGGCGAGCAGATATACTTTCCTGGAGATTTACTTCCCTACTCAGAGTCATATTCCTGTCGTCTGCACCTGACGGAGTAAGCTACAAGAAGCGTTATCTCTTTTGTATCCTCATGTACAAACCAAAGCACAAACGGGGGTCTACGGAGGTTCCCAAACACATGCGCAATGAAATGAATGTCTGTTGAACATCACTTGAACATGTCCCTATCAGCCACCAATGGATGGACTATATACTGTGTTTATATACATAAATTGCTAAATATGTACCAACATTTTCAACTTTGATGATTTCTCAACTTTTTGGAATTACTAACTACATGTTGATGTTTTGGAAAAAATCTGGAAAAGAAAAAAAGAATTAATGGAACCGACAGTGTAAAATTCTAACTAAAGTAGCCATTGTGTGGCTGGAATTTGAGTAGGGGAATGTGTTTAAATAAGCTATCATTGCCTAAATTTTGAAGTTCGGTTCCCAATTAACTACAATTCTTTAGTCGTTGCATATCAATCTGGGTGGGGGAATATTAGCGGCAATTTTGAAGGTGATAGTGTTGCAGAGAAAATAAGTAAGACCACTTTAAATTTGCCCTAAACTGGAATTCCTTCAAAATGTTCCAATCTACCCAGAAACTTTATTAAAAGCCTGCTGATGGGGTAACTTGCTAAGGAATTGCTTAGAATTAGCTCTAGATCCAAAAATTGACCTGCTGCTAAACACAGCCAGTAAACATGGGGTTAAAATAAAACTGTTTTATTAACTAGGGTCCGAGACGCAATGCCACCCTTGCTTCACGCCATGGGTCGGAGCATGCAAGGTCAAATAAAGAATCCTACGCCCAAGTCTCTGTATTAACCCTGTGCCTTGTTGGGTTTAGATAATTGGAGCTGCTTTACAATTCCATCAACTTCAGTGGGAGATTCAGAATCTCAAAATCTACCTTTAAATGGCTAAAAGGCAGGGGGCAACTCAGGTCTTGGCAAATTGAAAAAAAATCCCATATTTGGTATGGAAAACTAGTTTTGATGAGTGAAGTTTCCTTTCCTTAAAAAAAAAGAAATGTAAATTTTGATGTTAAATTCAGAGGGTTCCTGGAATTTTGTCCTTTAGAAGCATGTTAAAAACATTCTCTTCCTGTGAGTTGTTGCATTACTTTGAGTTATCTCGTTATCTCATTAAAGCCACCCTAAACTTTTCTTTTTGCAATTGTTTTGTCTTCTCTTCCTCTTTCATAATCTGTTTATCTCTTCTTAAAGGGACACTATAGGCACAGAGACCGTTTCATCTCATGAAAGTTGTGTGGGTGCGGTGTCCCAGTCCCCTTAACCCTGTAATGTAACACGTTTTTGAGAAGCTGCAATGCTTACATTGCAGGTTTAAGACTGCGTCTAATGGTTGTCTGCCAGAAAGCCACCAGAGGCACTTCCTGCTGTTTTATGTAGTTTAACTCCATAGAAAAGTATTGAGTTGTGCACGAGTATTAGGATCCCCCTGGCGATGATGTAGATGGAGGTGGAGACAGTGCCGGAACTGGGCATGTGTGAAATAGTTTTTGGCCCTTTTATTGTGGCCGGGGAGGGGGAGAGAGGGAAGGGATACTATAGTATTAGGAATACAGATTTGAACTCCTAAAATTAGTCTTTTTTAGTAGCCACTTATTCACAAACACTAGCCAAATTTAATGTTAATATTTGTTCGTGTTTGAAAAATGCAAAAAACTAAATTGAATTCCAATTTTGAAACGGAAGGAGGGGGATGCCACGTGAGTCCCCACACCGCGACTGCCGCTGTGGGATCGCCAGAGACCAGGTAAGTACAAAGGACGGCAGGGACGTGCTATGCCACCGACCGGCGTTTAGAGCCAGGTCCTAAGGGTGGCATAGCAAGCCCACCGTCCTTAAGAGGTCAAAAACAAAAATGATGAATATCCCACTATATTTATATACATGCTATGATCACCAGAACAAGAATTTAGTATAATGCATCTCATTTATACAATATTCTTTTGGCAAAACTACAGATTGTGTTTTTCAGTGGGTACATGCAGTGGCGTACACACAATCCATGGGGCCCCGGTGCGAAACTGAACCGTGGGCTCCCCCTCCGATCCATGCCCCCCCATGATCTGTGCCCCCACCCTCCTCAGACACATACATACACACAGACACATACACACATACAGACACATACAGACACACAAACATACATCCCCCCGACAGACACACATACATACATACATACACACATGCATACAGACACACACACATTCATACAGTCTGTATGTATGTGTCTGTATGTGTGTGTGTATGTGTGCATCTCTGTTTGTATGTGTCTCTGTATGTATGTGTCTGTATGTGTGTGCAGTGGCGTGCTATCAGGATTACTAGTTGATCCAGCACGTAGAATTGTGTCACACAGATGACTAATAGGTAACGTATTACCGGGCCTTAGAATGGCTGGACTTAACGTACCAAAGAATAGTCAGGATACTTGCCGAGGTCAAGGGAAACAGAAAGAGACACAACGATAAGGAAAAGCCAGGCGTCAGGGATGCCAGAAAACAGGGAAGTCAAAAACAATGCCAAAGTCAAACAATAACGCGCTCTCGGACAACCACAAGGGAAACCACGACAGGGCACTGAGCAGGATGAGAACTGGGCCTAAATACCCCTCCTCTAGATCTGATAGGCTGTAACCGGCCTTTGACCACAAAGGCAGTTACCAGGTTCCCATTTGCATAATTGCTGCTCAGCATTAACCCTTCTGTGGATTTGGTTGCTGCTCGGCACAACTTTTCCTGTGTGGACAGTAAATGTCATTAACCACATTTTTATAAGCGGATGAATACGTGATACGTACATACCGGGTTCCACCAGGGGGCCCGGCCGCCCTGCGACCTGGTATGTACCCACTGTGGCCAGCCTCTTCTCCTGGGGGCCCAGGAGCCGGCCACCTCAGGGCCCCCCCGAGGCTGGCCCTGGTGTCACCCGGTGGGCAGGCTGGCAGGCGCGCGAGGGAGCACTGTCCCCTGTGTGCTCCCTCTTCAGCTCCCTCGCGCAACGCACTGATACCGGAGCTGGAAGATGACACCCGCCGGGTGACACTACTTGACTCCAGGGAATACCCTCAGCACTCCCAAAGGCAGGGAGGCTGGGGGATTAAATTTTTTTTAAAAAAAAACATGTGTGTGTGTGTGTGTTAATTTTAGAGTGTGTGTGTGTTAGTGTGTGTGGGTGTTAGTGTGTGTTAGTGTTAGAGTATGTGTGAGGGTTAGAGTGTGTGTGTGTGTGTGTGTGTGTGTTACAGTGTGTGTGTGTTAGTGTGTGTGTTAGTATGTTAGTGTTAGTGTGTGTGTGTGTGTGTGTTAGTACTAGAGTGTGAGTGTGTGTGTTAGAGTGTGTGTGTGTTAGTGTTAGAATGTGTGTGTGTTAGAGTTAGAGTGTGTGTGTGTGTTAGAGTGTGTGTGTGTGTTAGTGTTAGTGTGTGTGTTAGTGTTAGATTGTGTGTGTTAGAGTGTGTGTGTGTTAGAGTGTGTGTGTGTGTGTGTGTTAGTGTGTGTTAGAGAGTGTGTGTGTGTGTTAGTATTAGATTGTGAGTGTGTGTGTGTTAGAATGTGTGTGTGTGTGTTAGAATGTGTGTGTGTGTGTGTGTTAGAGTGTGTGTGTGTTAGAGTGTGTGTGTGTCTGTGTTAGTGTGTGTGTGTGTGTGTGTGTTAGAGTATGTGTATGTGTTAATATTAGAGTGTTAGAGTGTGTGTTAGTGTGTTTGTGTTTGAGTGTGTGTGTGTTAGAGTGAGTGTGTGTGTGTGTGTGTTAGAGTGTGTGTGTTAGTGTGTTACTGTGTGTGTGTGTCTGTTAGTGAGTATGTTTGGTGTCTGTTAGTGAGTGTGTGTTTTGTAAGAGAGTGTGTATGTGTCTGTCTGTCAGTGAGTGTGTATGTATGTCTGTCACTGAGTGTGTCTGTCAGTAAATGTGTGTGTCTGTTAGCTAGTGAATATGCGTCTGTTCGTGAGAGTGTGTGTGTCTTCAGCACTTACCTTTCTCCAGCGCCGGACTCCCTTGGTGCTGGGGATTTCTCCGCCCTGATCCGCCTCTCAGCTCCGAATGCGCATGCGCAGCAAGAGCCGCGCGCGCCTTCAAACCGGCCATAGGAAAGCATTACTCAATGCTTTCCTATGGACGTTCAGCGTCTTCTCACTGTGATTTTCACAGTGAGAATCGCGGAAGCTCCTCTAGCGGCTGTCAATGAGACAGCCACTAGATGCTGGATTAACCCTCAGTGAAACAGCAGTTTCTCTGAAACTGCTATGTTTTCAGCTGCAGGGTTAAAACTAGAGGGACCTGGCACCCAGACCACTTCATTGAGCTGATGTGATCTGGGTGTCTGTAGTGGTCCTTTAAGTGTATGTGAATCTGCATGCACTGGCGTACATACCGCAGTCGCAGGGGTCACAGCCCTGTGACCCCTGCAACCAGGTGCCCGCCGCCATGTGTTGCGGACAGTAAGCGCATGGGGGGCACGGATCAGTTTTCGCACCAGGGCCCCATGGGTTGTGTGTATGCCACTGTGTGTATGTGTGTCTGTATGTGTGTGTGTCTGTGTGTATGTGTGTGTCTTTCTGTATGTGTGTGTGTGTGTGTCTGTATGTGTGTGTGTCTCTGTATGTATGCGTCTGTATCATACAGACACACACGCACATACAGAAACATACATACAGAGACACACACATACACACAGACACATACATATAGAGACACACACATATAGAGACACACACACATACAGACAAACACATACAGACACATACATATAGAGACACACACACATACAGACAAACACAGACACACACATACACAAAATGTTTACCTATAGAATGTAAGCTCGATTGAGCAGGGTCCTCTTCAACCTATTGTTCCTGTAAGTTTATTTGTAATTGTCCTATTTATAGTTAAATCCCCTTTCATAATATTGTAAAGTGCTACGGAATCTGTTGGCGCTATATAAATGGCAATAATAATAATAATAATAGGTCATTCCCCTGTTTCCTACCTTTTGCAGGAGGGTGACTTTCCCTGACTCCCTCCTCCTTCCTTCCTCCCGCGCGGCTCTCTGATAGCTGAGAGGAGTGACTGGGGCAGTCACTTCCTCCCAGCTGTCTGATGTCATCACAGGGGGTCCGGTCAAACTCTTAGGGTGGCCCTAACAGCATAGGCCACCCAGGGATCCCTTCATGTGCAAATTTTAATCATAATTGTTCATTGTCATTTTTAGTGATAAAACGCACTCCGTCACCTTGCTCAAGCAAAAAATATCTATTTTACATTATTTTGCGGGGTATAAATTATACAGCTATATTTGAATCAGATATGCTATTAAAATCCACCTGCTGAGGCAAGAGCACAGATGTGTGTGACAATAATAAATGTAAAAATGTCACCATGTTGGGCTTCCTGCAGTGACACTTGCTATAACTCACTTTATTTTCTAATCAAACATTTTACGGAAAAGTGACCACATGAAAGCATTCTGCCAATACAACCTGTCTGAATAATATTTATATTGTATATTCTGTATAAGAACTAATTGTCCAAAAAAAAAAAGACAGGCATTAATTCTAAATTAGGCGATCTCTGACCCTTAGGTGTTGATGCCACCATCTCACAGTAAATATATTGTATAAGGATCACAGAGTGAGGGGGGAAAGGGAGAAAAAAAAAACAACAAACAAGCAAGTAAACAGTGCAAAGGATTGTGCTAGAACACCGAGAGTAAAATAATGAATTACACAGATTAAGAATGCATGAATTCACATCCTAGAGTCCAGAATATGCATGAACTCTTGAACCTTCTGAATTCATTCATTCTTAGAATGCATAATTATATGTTTATATTCTCCCCCTTCTAACACCATTGTGTGCACTGTTTGCTTGTTTTGTTTGTTTTTCTCCCTCTCCCCCGTCACTCTGTGATCTTCACACAAGATATTTATGACCCTCTGTGAGAATGGTGTCTATTTTCTAACAGTCCTGTGCCTTATCTGTATTCATGTCGCTTTAACCCCTGTAGCACAACTCAACTTTGAATTCTATGTGTCATTTTTTTTGCTCAGAAACGCTTAGACTTGAGAAAGGGAGGTTCTCCCAAAAGCTTGTCGTTACAAAATTCTGTTAGTCCAATAAAAAAGGTATTACAAGATATACATTTAATCTATCTGTTATTTTACATATATATATATATATATATATGTATAATTATAATGATAATAAAATTATTATTGCCATTAATATATAGTGCCAACAGATTCTGTAGCGATATATGTATATTTATTTTTTATTTATTTATTTATTAAACAAAAATAGGAGCACTCACATGACCCTTCTTCAATCCATAGTCTTCTTCTAATTCTTCTAATTAACTGAAAAAAACTTGTGACAATTACATTTGTGACCAACGTTTTGACCCTTGCACGGGCTTTCATCAAGATCAAACATAAGTACCAAAACATGCTGTATATATAGTGCAAAATTACCTATCCAGGTGGTTTTCTATACGTGTGTTACACCCTCCAGGTGTTAGGTACAGCGCACCTGGATGACGTGAACATACATGATACCTATCGTCATGGTAAGTTGTGATGTTACACATAATTTAAACACCAGGTTATGTAGACATTTTGATACAGTGATAATTTTAACTTTTAGATACCATGCAACACTGTTTCAGTATATAGACAAAACACTTGGGCTACAGCTCGGGATATAATCCTAAAGACAGAAAAACAAATAATACACAGTGTGAAATTGTTTAAAACATGAAAAATCGTGCAAGCACATAAAACGTGTGAAATTTCAAGCACTTCAAAGGCGCCTCCCCTGGAGTTGATGGGGGGCTAAAGCCTTCTTGGGGTCTCCACTCCCAATCAGGTACCAGAAAAAAAATCCAGATTTCAAGGTTCCAATAAAAATGGTTTTATTTTTCATCAAAAAAAGAATGATTATGAAAAGTTGAGGTCCTATGTGTTTCGTTCCTATAAAGAAGGCTTCCCCAAACTCTGGCCCTCCAGATGTTGCTGAACTGCAACTCCCATGATTCTCAGTCTATCTATTTCATTCATAGATTCATGGGAGTTGTAGTTCAGCAACATCTGGAGGGCCGGAGTTTGGGGAAGCCTGCTATAAAGGAACTTTCTCAGGGACCAATACTAAAATCAATAAATTACAAACAATATGCAATAATACAACCTGATGTCCCCTCTCCCCCTCCCCCACAAGTCCCTTTAAATAGAGTAAGTCCCAAAAGTTTCATTGTTGGTGTGGTGGATGTTTTTCCTTCTTTTCCCCTGGTTGGCCCTTCAGTGGCTTCTTACATCTTGATTTCAGCAAATCTCTCACAGTTGTGCTTGGTCTCCAATTACTTCTTGGCGGGCGATCATCCATTCCGGAAGACAGACATTTGCGTTCGAGTGACCACTTCCTGCACCACGCATTAAATATGGCTGTGCGTTCCACGCTAGATGTTCGGAATAGTTCTAAGTACATAGGCAATCGCCAACTGGTGTTCACCATGAATATCAAATAAAAGTCCATCTACTCAGAAAAACGTATATTAACTCAAAAGGCAAAGAACACACTGTGAAATACAGTTTTTATGAGTGTTTTAACCCCTTCACGACCGATGATGGTTCAGGACCATCATTGGAAAAATCCCCTTGAGGACCGGAAATCTTTACTCACCCGATCGCCATTGTTCCCCCGGCGGCGATCAGCATTACACTCGTTGTGGGGAGACTGCCTGAGAGCCCAGGCAGTCTACCCGTGGCAAATAAGGACCCCACGGCCACGTGATCGCTCAGTCTCCCTGCAAGTGTAAAATCCCCCCAAAAAATGTTCATGTTAATAAAAAATCTAGTTAAATATGTCTATATGTCTATATATCTTATATATTTAATGTCACACTAAGTGTATTTTTATATTAATATATATATATATATATAGTTATATCAATATACACTTAGAATGAAATTACATATACATCTATGTATATATAATTAAATCAAAATATTATGAAATATATATATATATATATATCCATATACAAAGTTACATAAATAATTTCATAAATATACACGAAAACTTCAAGTATATAAATATGCATTGTGACGAGACCAATCTCGCCACTGTGCATTGGAGGAGCCTAGTTGCCTGCCTGCTGTCTTTAGACTATGGCCCCATGTTGAAACGCTTGATTTTTCCCTGCAAAGACCCGAAAGCCGTATCATTTGGTGTTTGCCCTGTTTGAGCGGTGATACCCCAGATAGCTATGTCATGGAGCCCATTCGTATAACGAAAGACTATGTGAAAGACTTTGGTTCCATTGCAATTGAACTGTATGTATGTGATCTGAGCGCCATTCAGTAATAATGTGTGCTCAGATCTGAGCTATCTGGGGATATGTTGAATGTACCTGTTTTATGCAATAGCTGCACAGTTATATATTTTTATGTATTTTATTGTCTTTTGCTACCATGTGGCTAATGGAGTTTTGCCTCTGTCCTTGGAGATAATTGGATTACTTCCCAATTATCTCCAGGATAGAAGACTCTGTGGAACTGGTTTTGGGCAGAAAAGCAATGCTTCATTTGGTCACAAAGGACTTCGATCTAACTTTTGACCACTGCTTGACCCTCAACACGGAGCTATGTCCCGTCGTTAGGGGGATTTACTGTATGCTGTTAGTGACTGATTGCCAGGAGCGTAAGCCGATTGGGTGCTTTTCCTGTTCGTCTGCTAGCAGCTATTCGTGAGGCTCCAGTTCGGGAGATTGGAGTGCTACTTTGTATGCAGTTCGGGAGTTTGGAGCATTCCCTTGCATTCAGTTTGGGAGTTTGGTGTTCTGCAGTAGCGGTGCCTGTGTCTCTGGAAGGGGAAGATCTTCTAAATGTCAGTTTAACCCTTTTATGCCTGGGGTGCCGTTACATGCATATATATTTAAATTCTACGTGCGTATTTATGTAATATTTTTACATAATTAAGTAATTTTATTGATTGCAATTTGAGGGAGCTGCCTGACAACCCAGGCCGAAAGTCCAAAGAATTTAATTTGCTAGCACTGTATTTAACCCTGTAACTTTCTATGACACCCTAAAACCTGTACATGGGGGGTACTGTTTTACTCAGAAGACAAATATTAGTGTTTCAAAACAGTAAAACATATCACAGCGATGATATTGTCAGTGAAAGTGACTTTTTTGCATTTTTCACACATAAACGGCACTTTCACTGATGATATAATTGTTGTGATACGTTTTACTGTGGGGTTTTTTAAAATTGACAATACGTTTTACTGTTTTGAAACACTACTATTTGTGTTCAGCAAAGTCTCCTGAGTATAACAGTGGCCCCAATGTACAGGTTTTATAGTATTTTTGAAAGTTACAGAGTCAAATATAAGTGTCAAATATTTTTACATTGAAAATTGCCAGGTTGGTGATGTTGCCTTTGATAGCGTATGGTAGCCCAGGAATGAGAATTACCCCCATGATGGCATACCATTTGCAAAAGAAGACAACCCAAGGTATTGCAAATGGGGTATGTTCAGTGTTTTTAGTAGCCACTTAGTCACAAACACTGGCCAAAATTAGCGTTCAGTTTTGTTTTTTGCAATTTTCACACACAAACAAATATAATTGCTAACTTTGGCCAGTGTTTGTGACTAAGTGGCTACTAATAAAGACTGGACATAC